TTACAGTTCTTTAAATTAGGCAATGCAGAACCCATAAGAAAATCTGGTAACTCCTTTAGTGTTTTTATTTGTAAAAAGGTGTTCTATCAACACCAGGATGGTGTAATATTTGACTCCTATAAGGTTGAGAAGATTGTGATATCCATTTTTTGAATGGATCCTAATCCATTAAATAGTTGTATTAACATATAATTAATCTGAAAATGTTAATATGTTAATACAACTCAACATGTTTAGTTTCAGCTTGTGTAAAAGGTTAGGGTTCCATGTTAATACAACCTAACATGTTTAGTTTCAGCTTGTGTAACTTAACATGTTTCGTTTCAGCTTGTGTAAAAACTAAAGTGGTATAAGGCAACGGGTTTCCACGCGATTTGCGAGTAAACTCAACTAATTCGTGAGAGAGTGTAACTAAAGAGTGTATTAGAATTTAACATAGGGGGTGTCCTGACTTATGCACCCTGTATTTTAAGGAAGAACATGTATTTGTTTATGATACATTATTCATTCAGAAAGAAAATTGGTGTCCTTAAAGGTTGGATTTTTCCTAAAGTTTTTAATTAAGGCATTAAGATCAATTTCCAAAAGATGATTTTTATTCCTCTTTTTAGACAACTTTAGCACGGGTTGTCCAAACTTATTCACATCACTGGTAAGTTGAGCCGAGAATAAAAAACTGAAGGACTTTGAAAACAAGCATGAAGAAGCGCATAAATTATTTTATCTTTCTTTTCGAATTTACTGTCATGTTTGGCTGCCAAAGTTGCAGGCAGAATAACAATTGCAGGAGGGCAATTACTGTCAGCAAGGGGATAGATGCTTCACCGATAAGTTCGGTTGTCACATTTAAAGTGACAGCTATTCAGCTTCTCCTGATAAGTGGCAAACGATATTGTCATCATTAAGTTTTAATGGATATGAGGTTATGTGCTTCTAACAACATGAACAAGAATAATGCTGAGAGGGGAAAAAAAACACCCGGCTGGCACACAACACTGCCAAGTCCAAAATTGTTAAATGGACCCTGCGTGCCATATAGCCTTGGCTGAATTTCATCAAAGATGTCCCTGTACAGTTTGTGAGTTGGCTTCACTTAAATTATGGCCAGACATGCATTTTTAATAATGACGGTTTGCGTTCTGTATACTCTTCATCATTTTTTCATATCAAAGTACCAGAGAACTAAGAAAAACCGAGTTAGCATGTTTTTTTTTTTGTTTGTTTTTTGTTTTTCTGAGCGCTGAGAGAGAACAGGGCTGAAGTTAGTTCTCTGTGATGTATGAAAATTGCATGTTGTAGAGTTCAGGCTGGTTTGTAATCGTTATAGTTTATCTCAACAGAGCTTAGTTTGTTCCTTGCCTTGTCTAGTGACAAGTTTTACAGCTCACAATATTCTCAACACCCTCCTTCAATAGATAAGATGAACCGTTTCGAAGCATACAGTCTCATAATGCCTCAGGCACACTTCATTTCCATGTTTTTCCATCTGGAAATCTGCCTCTCCCTGCCCTCATGTATATGAAAATTTTAATTTACAAGGCAAATGACACAGACAGAAAAAAAAAAAGCAAGAAAAAAGCAAGGCATCCATCTTGAAGTTTATGACATTATAAACTTCCAATTAGATTCCAGTTGAATGATGCACATACACTTCATTCATATTTTTTTTTGTATCTGATTATCCCTAATGTCATTCAATGTCTTTAAGCAAAAACTTTTGCAATAAAAATATTTATTGGCCTTTCCATGCTCCATGTTATGTTCAAAATAGTATTCTCTACTAACCCTACTACTAGGGCTGCATGTTTTCAAGTTTTTCATTAACCGTTAACCGAGGCCCTTAGTGGTTAATACTCGGTTAACCATAGTGTGCGTGCCACAACCTCGAGATACAGACACAAGAGAGTTCATTATTAACACCTGTAATAACTGGTTGGACCACATTTGAAACGAAATTAATTTATAGAAATAAAATGCAGTGGTAAGGACAGAGCAGTTAAAGTAGGTGTTTCCATCAAATTGAAATTGCCAATTGAAAATACGCACAATGGAAACACGTCCATTTCGCAAAAACTCCGCAATTTGAAAAAGGAATATTTCACAAAACAGTAATGCAACATTTTGTGTGTTTTGGGTCCGTGTCCACAAATGATAATAATCATCATCATCATTATTGTAACATTTTATTACGCTACATATGTAGAAGACGCCTTTATCCAAAAAAGGAACAAAGCACAAATAAACACAATATTTTAACGCATATCCAAGTGTTTGTGCAGAGTGTAAAGCGCGCACTGGATGGCAGGGAGACGCCCATGCAAACACTTACAGTTTCCTATCAACAGTGGAAACAACTTAAAATACTCAATAACAAATAACAAGACATAACAAAAAATGTGGTGCTTTTGTAAAATAAATTAAACAATCAGGCACGCTTCATGATCTCAGTGAATTGAAGCGCGAGAACTGAAACAATATAACCTTTGTAGACTAAAGCAACTTAAATAGAATTACAGATCTTTTCAGACACATTTATTATAGCCTATAATTAAGCAATAAATCACCTTTCTGCAGGCTGTGGTTATGACTCTTCTCATTCAGCACTGCGGGGAAAATATCATTTCCAGGTTCTAATTTGGCCTCAGAAAACCAGTAAAATCTCATTTTTTTTCAATATTAATTTGTGAAATACAACCCGAATTCCAGAAAAGTTGGGACGTTTTTTAAATTTGAATAAAATGAAAACTATACGACTTTCAAATCACATGAGCAAATATTTTATTCACAATAGAACATATATAATATAACAAATGTTTAAATGGAGAAATTTTACACTTTAGTCCACTAAATGAGCTCATTTCAAATTTGATGCCTGCTACAGGTCTCAAAATAGTTGGGACGGGGACAACAAATGGTTGAAAAAGCAAGAAATTTAGAAAGGATTCAGGTGGGAGAACATCTATAGCAACTAATTAAGTTGATATCAGGTCTGTAACATGATTAAAGGGATGTCTTAGAGAGGTAGAGTCTCTCAGAAGTAAAGATGGGCAGAGGCTCTCCAATCTGTGAAAGAGTGCGTAAAAAGATTGTGGAACACTTTAAAAACAGTGTTCCTCAACATCAAATTGCAAAGGCTTTGCAAATCTCATCATCTACAGTGCACAACATCATCAAAAGATTCAGAGAAACTGGAGAAATCTCTGTGCGTAAGGGACAAAGGCGAAGACCTTTATTGGATGCCCGTGGTCTTCGGGCCCTCAGACTACACTGCATCACTCATCGGCATGATTGTGTGAATGATATTACTAAATAGGCCCAGGAATACTTCCAGAAACCACTGTCGGTAAACACAATCCGCCGTGCCATCTCCAGATGCCAACTAAAGCTCTATCATGCAAAAAGGAAGCCATATGTGAACATGGTCCAGAAGCGCCGTCGTGTCCTGTGGGCCAAGGCTCATTTAAAATGGACTATTTCAAAGTGGAAAAGTATTCTATGGTCAAACGAGTCCAAATTTGACATTTTTGTTGGAAATCACGGACGCCGTGTCCTCCGGACAAAAGAAGAGGGAGACCTTCCATCGTGTTATCAGCGTTCAGTTCAAAAGCCAGCATCTCTGATGGTATGGGGGTGCATAAGTGCATACGGTATGGGCAGCTTGCATGTTTTGGGAGGCACTATGAATGCTGAAAGCTATATAAAGGTTTTAGAGCAACATATGCTCCCCTCCAGACAACGTCTATTTCAGGGAAGGCCTTGTGTATTTCAGCAGGACAATGCAAAACCACATACTGCAGATATTACAACAGCATGGCTTCGTCGTAGAAGAGTCCGGGTTCTGAATTGGCCTTGCCTGCAGTCCAGATCTTTCACCTATAGAGAACATTTGGCGCATCATTAAACGAAAAATGCGTCAAAGGCGACCACGAACACTTCAGCAGCTGGAAACCTATATAAGGCAAGAATGGGACCAAATTCCAACACCAAAACTCCAGACACTCATAAACTCGATGCCCAGACGTCTTCATACTGTTTTGAAAAGAAGAGGAGATGTTGCACCATGGTAAACGTGTCCCCGTCCCAACTATTTTGAGACATGTAGCAGGCATCAAATTTGAAATGAGCTCATTTAGTGGATAAAAGTGTACAATTTCTCCGTTTAAACATTTGTTATGTTATCTATGTTCTATTGTGAATAAAATATTGGCTCATGTGATTTGAAAGTCGTATAGTTTTAATTTTATTCAAATTTAAAAAACGTCCCAACTTTTCTGGAATTCGGGTTGTAATTTAAATGTTTAGTGAAGGGGCAAAAAAATCAAACAAATATCTGAAAATTTGTCTATATATATATTTATGAAGATGGTGCCATTTGAAATTTTCTTCTAGAATGATCATTTTTATCAAGCTTGTATATTTAACTTCAGTAATTTCACTTAAATTACAATTAATAGGTAATCTTCTTTTTTCAGCAATTTAATTAAATTTAATACAAAGACATTAACACCAGAATTTCGACTCTAAGCACATGAGCCATTCTTAAGTGGCTTTTAAAAAAATATCTTATTTGCTCCTTTTGTTGGTTGAGGACCATAATATAATAATTCATGCTTAACCGTAATTCAAGGCAAAAAAAAAAAATAAAAAATTCAAGAATGAGATTTTGGTCATATTTGTGCATATATGTAGATTTGTTTGAATTAAAAGTAACCGTGAAATCACAGTTGACGGTCTTTGTTTATTTTATGGAATATTGTAGTATATGTATTATAAATGATTTGTATGCTCACATCTATGATATCTGAGTTTTCAAAGAAGATTATCCAGATTCAAAATCTAAATAAAATTTATTAAATAGAATCCACTCAGGTTCATACAAAAGTGAGAGTCCACGAAATAGAGAAGTAGTGCTTAGCACCAACAGTACCAGACGAATGACCCAGAGGAGTGGAGGGATCATGATGGAAGCTTACACTGAAAAAAGTGTCTCATTAGATCAAAGTAAAAAAATTGCGTCAACTGGTTACATCTAATTGATTTACTTTCTATCAACTTAAAATTTTTACTTTGAAGAGAATTAACCATCCATTACTTAGCTAAAGTAAAAATTAATCTTTGAATCAAATAAAGTTTTTAAGTTGAATGAAATATCAAATTATACTTTGTCTTAATGTTTTCTTAAGTTGTATTGACTTAATTATTGTACTTTACATATCTAACCAAATATCCAAAAAAATACAATTTAAAATATTAATGTATTATAAAGAAATTTATTTACTTTCAGAATGTGTAATTTTATCATTTAAGAAAAATGACTTCAAGCATCAAACTTTTGACAATTTATTTTGTCATAACTTTTTCTTTTACGTGTACAGTATCCTCATACACAATGTCTAACAATGTAAACATCAAACTTCAGCAGAAAATTGTAGCTGGGTCAAAGGAAACAAATTTACCCCTGCAGCTTTGAAGAGAGGTTCTGCACCCTTCGGCTCATCTGCTTACTCTCTATGTCCATGATTATTATCTGAAAGGCCTCAAAAGTATATTTGAGTCCTTCAGGATATTTTAGGTTCAGTGCATAAACGAGTCCAAACATCACGGCACAGGCACAGGCAACAGTGGGCAACTCCTTCAGTACTTCCACACCTTCAATGGCAATGGAAATGTCCAGCACACGACTAAGAGCATCACTTTCACGGATCACAAAAAATGCCATAGTGGTCTTTTCAAATTCTCTCTCCGCTTCCTCCGTCTGGTCATCCTAAAAACATACAAAAACAGAGAGCAATTGAGGGACTGTGGAAGAAGAAAAAAACCCCCAGCCCCAAAATTTAGTTAGCTGTACTACTAAGGTCAATGTAGAGCCCAAACATCTGTTGTTAACTTTAATTAAAATATCTTCAATAAAATTTGTAGGGTTTATTACAAGAGTAGAGTAAGTGATGACAATTTTCATTTTTGGGTGACGATGTACTTTTACACTCTCTTTAGCTTTGAAAATGCTTTTAAACACTTTCAAAGGCTCCCAGTTGCTGACCATTGTAGACAATCACAGACATATTTGTTGAGTGCAGTACCACAATGGCCAATCAGAGGCATTTATCAATCCACTCAACAGTGTTCAAAATGCATTTTGGGGTGAACCAACCCCTATTAAAGGAGTAATTCAAGGGATGGGCAACGATTTATCGCGATTAATCGTTAGCAAAATAAAAGTTTGTGTTTACATAATATATGTGTGTGTAGTGTGTATAATTTATTTGTATATATAAATACCCACACATGCATGTATATATTTAAGAAAAATGTGTTATTAACATGTCAAATATTTATATTTATATATAATATTAATTATGTATAAATATATATAAAGTATATACATGCAAATATTTCTTAAATATATACATGCATGTGTGTGTGTGTATTTATATATACAAATTAATTATACACACTACATACACATATATTATGTAAACACAAACTTTTATTTTGCTAACAATTAATCGCGATTAATCATTGCCCATCCCTAAGTAATTCAAAATAAAAATTCTGTCATCGTTTAAATTTCTCTTGTCATTTCAAACCAGTATGAATTACTGTACTCTGCAGAATTTTGAACAGCGTTGGTGACAGAACAGCACAGCCCCCATTCACTGTTATTGTATGGACACAAAACCAATGCAAGTGAATGGGGGGCTCTTAAAGGATTAGTCCACTTAAAAAAAACCTTTTGCTGATAATTTACTCACCCCCATGTCATCCAAGATGTCCATGTCTTTCTTTCTTCAGTCGAAAAGAAATTAAGGTTTTTGATGAAAACATTACAGGATTTTCTCCATATAATGGACTTCATTGGGAACCAAACGGTTCAAGGTCCAAATGACAGTTTCAGTGCAAACTGTTCAAAGGGCTTTAAACGACACCAGACGATGAATAAGGGTCTTATCTAGCAAAACAATCGGGCATTTAAAAAATAATAAGTTTTATAAGCACAAATGCTCGCCTTGCTCTGTTCTGTGATGCACGTTCGTTTCAACATAATTGTGTATTACGTGACGTCACGAACGCGTATCACAGAACAGAAAATTGAAACTCATTTGGACCTTGAACCATTTGGGGTTTATTGAAGTCCATTATATGGAGAAAAATCCTGGAATGTTTTCATCAAAAACCTTAATTTCTTTTCGACTGAAGAAAGAAAGACATGGACATCTTGGATGACATGGGGGTGAGGAAATTATCAGCAAAACTTTTTTTTAAAGTGAACTACTCCTTCTTCAAAATACATTCTTTTGTATTCTGTGGTAGAAAGTCACACAGGCCGATGTGTAAATGATAACAATTACTTTTGAGCGATATGTCACTACCAAACTTACTAAATTAAATTAAACTAAATTAAATTGCGCGAGAACTGAAATGAAGTAGTTGAAGGAGATCGCAATTCTCGCGCATGCGTCGTGTAAATCTAAGGAAGTCTCGTTTCAGGCCAACAAGGAAGAAAAGGAATAGTCGAATAAAGTCGTTATTTTTGTTTGTTTTTTCGCACAAAAAGTATTCTCGTCGCTTGATAAACTTATAGTTGAGCCACCGTAGTCACCTGGGATATTTAAACATTTTCTTCATTGACTTTCTGGGCCGTCAAGAGCCAGTCCCTTAGGAAGCCAATGTGGTAGTGAGACAGCTCTCAAATTTAATCAAAAATATGTTCATTTGTGTTGCGAAGATGAACGAAGGTCTTACGGGGTTGGTACAGCATGGGGGTGAGTAATTAATGACTTAATTTTCATTTTTGGGTGAACGAACCCTTTAAGGCAAACATGGTTGGACAAAATTTCAGCAATTTGTCTACATTACCTGGTATTCTTTGATCAGACAACTTGCATCTTCACCAAGGTACATGATCAGGCACTTCAGCAGGCACTCTCTTCTGACGTCTATGTCCGGACTCTACAAAATGTATTGTTTTTATTAGACCAAAACACTACTAAATTGATTGCCACAAGCAATTTTGTTCTCATGCAACCAATATCTGATCCATAACTTTTATAGTATCCTTAGTTTTTTCACGAAGGAGTCCACCTTCGCTCCTGATCACCCGGAGAAGCTGAGAGCTCTGTCTGTCCTAAGAGGCCACAAATCTTGATTGCAAAGGTAAGGTCGTGATAAGAAAAAATTCGGCATTAATCTACAAGAAAGAGAAACAGAAAAAAGTGATTTTACTTTCAGAATTAGTTGTAAAAATACATAGACACACAAAGCATTAAACAACAAAAGTTATAATTAGGGCATCCAAGACATTTTCAAAAATACTACATACCAAAATTCAATTATAAAAACTATGGTAAATTCAGGATTAGTCACATTTAAAAAAATTTCATTACAAATAAATGCTTTTACCTCCTCTTGTTGAAACAGAGCTGGCCATCCAATGCACTAATGGTTCTGATGTGATATTTCTGTGAAACTATTCGCTGCTGAAATAGAACAAAACCTGTCAATCACTGTATGATTAACTTAATGAATCTATGATGTAGGCTAATTACATCGCACGTACATCTCTGGTTTGAGTGCAGATTTCAGTGAGAGAGCGCGCGCGTGCGCGCGCGCGCTCTGAACTAATCTTACGCGATGACTAATCTGAACAACTTTTGATTATTAGAAATTGTATTCATAAACTCAAAAGAATCGCGTGTGTTTGTTCTAATGCGCAACGCGATTATCGTATAAGAGATGCCTTTTGAGAAGACTCAACCCACCAAAATGATAGAGGGAGTAACATTACTTTGTTACACACCACAGCTGAAACCCACACGCGAATGGCGGGTGTTAATGTCAAGCCCTGATATATTATGTTTATAACACGCCCAAACATATGTTTAAAATTACTTACCAATTTTCTTGCTTCCCGTTTTCCCACGCTGAGTTCTTCCATGCGGTTTAACAAGATGGCGGAAAGCTGAACGTCTCACGCACGACCACGGCACGGATGACGTCAGAAGTCACGTGACAACGGAAACCAATATTTTTACTTTAATTTAAAGAAATCCATTTACTTTACACTAACAATACTTACTTTTAATTTAAATCAACGAAAAATTTTACATTAAACTGATGGCTAGATAGAAAATTAATTGTTTTGTGTTACATCAAGTATAAAAATTTCTTTAGAGTAATGACATGCCTTGTTCACTTTTTTCAGTGTAGCTGACCACAACCGAGGAAATGACCGATGGGTTGAACTAGGGAACTGCTAACTTTAGGCTGCTGCCCTACACTTTGCTCATAGCTGAACTATGCTGTGACTGACTCAATAACAAAAAACAATAAAAAATAAACAGTGAACACATTTAACATCCAAATTATTTAGATTTAGTATTTTTACATATAAAATAATTCATTTTATTTAAGGCATCAGGCATTTCCATTGCGTGAAAAGACAGATGATGCACTCTTTAGGTGACACGCATTGCATTCCTGTATGATGCTTTGCATAAAATTAAATGATTTACAGCACAGTAATATTAAATAAAATGTACAGTACACAAACCTGCATTTACTTAAGAAATGCACTATTTCGATGGCACTGAGAACAGCTCTCTCCTGAAGATGATGCAAAAAGCCAGAGGTAAATAACACAACCACTGGGTTTTTACGTCTGACCCAGAAGCTGGGTTACACAAAAACTACCTTAACACTGAAAAAAATATTGACCCAAAAAATAATAGCTCAACTCAGCAGAGACTCACCCTGAATGCTGGCAGAGCTTACACAATCAAACCAATGCCAACATAGGAGAACATGCACTCCACACAGAAATGACTTGGACCAGGTACATTGTTGCCACACTTATGACAGCTAAACTGAGTCAGAGAAAGAAGCCATTGTAATGATGTGATAGTTCATTCAACCCATGACACCAATAAACCAAGCCAACCAATTCTCAAATCACAGGCTAATAAAACCTGTATCACTTTTAGCTGCACAGCCCCAAGCGACAGGTTTGGCAAACATCTATTAAAATCAAATTAATAGTTTACAAGGAAATGCCTTATCTAAACCATTTCCATAGCAAAGCAATACTGCAACAAAAAGCTCTCATCCAACTGATAACACATCCAACTTTGCTTTTGAAAAATCTGCCGGTGTGTCCTGTCACTCTTTAAAGCAGCCCTTTTTAATGAGAAACTGTGATTCTATCTCAAGTAATTAAAAAATCGGCCAATCTGATTCATCCCAGACAATGCCATTGACTAAATTAAAAAAACTAAAAGCTGAACCGTCCTAATATTGTGCACAGACTGGCAGGACTAAAAGAAGTGCATTAGCTCAAATAAACAAACCCTTTGGCAAATGGAACTCAGTAAAGCACTTCATTTAATAGGAGCTGACGATGGAGTCATGCTTGAGAAGTGAAATGTTTGCAGGTTGGTAAAAAGCCCACACTTAGTCATTGTCCATTCCAAATTGTTACCCAATTACCTTTTCGGACCTGGAAGGAGTGAAATCCTCTGCCCCAACGAGCACATCAAACCTTGATAACCTATTTAATGTCTCATTTTATGGACTAATTATAGTTTTGTTTTAATAACTCTCTCGTCCGGCTTCTCTCAATGCTGGTATCTCGCTGCATCAGAGCATTTTAATAATGAAGAATAGTCTGATTAAATGTCCTGATTTCCCCATGACATTTTCCAGCATTAAGTTGGCTTCAGTGTTAAATTTGAAGGGAGTGTCAGTACTGCAGTCGACTAGCAGCACTGTTAAATTAAATGCTTGCGGGCGAAACTAAAGCATTGTTCACATTTTCTGTGAGTTCAACAGGTAAATGACAAAGTGGAAGCCTTTCTTTCTTGCACACAAACTCACACACTCTTTGTTCTGTTCTGTGAAAATTAAACATCAATCTTGGGAGGTCACCAGCAAACTTGAGGATCCTGGGTTTTGATTCATTGAAGGCTTCAGCTTAAATGCTCCTGTGCTCCTGGCAATGTTTATAAGGGAGACACCATATATTTAGTGGTTTCTTTACTGAACTATTTATGTTTTGTCATTTACAGTAAATGCTCTTTGCAATCTGGACGCTCATCAGTTAAATTAACATTTGATTTTATATATTTAGCCTGACTTTAGCCTACTTTGGTGCAGGGTCACTGTGCCTGGGATTTGTGTAGAAGTGCATGCCATCTGGAAAAATTCATTCATTTGGAAAGCTTTGCAATGACATCAAAAACACTTCACTTGCGTCATTTTGTATACAATTATACAGTAGTGAGGTTTAAAAGAAGTTTAAAATGCTACTACGTTACTGTACTTAACTTCATTTATTTCAAATATCTGTAGGCTACTTTGATTTTTTATCTTTGGTAATTTTACTTTTGCTTCACTACACTCCAAAGAGAAATAATAATGTACTTTTGGTTTACCTTTATTTTTTAATGATCCCTTTAACACATTATGTTGACTATAAGTAATGTTGTACCTACATGTCTAGCTCTTATTAGAGTGTTAGTAGAGATTTTTATTAGAGATTTTTAGTAGACTGGTAGGATTACCAGAATAAATAGATATGCAGTTGCAAAGTTACTTAGAATGTCTATTAGAGATATTAAGCAGACAGTCTACTAATAATCTAGAGTTAGTTGACGTGTAGTTGTAAAGTTACTTATAGTCAACAGAATGTTCAAAAAAGGCTCATCAAAATAAAGTGTTACCTTACTTTTTCTCCACTACTGTCACAGTCCTCCGTCTGCACCAGTCTGTCTTGTCCTTAGCACTACACTTCCCAGGATCCCCTCGTCACCCTATCCCGTGTTCACTCCCTCATCAGCCACCTGTTCCTCGTCTTGATCATCTGTTTCACCTGTTTTCACCCCATTATGTTTGATTCATCTGTGTATTTAGTTCCCTCAGTTTTACTCAGTCATTGTCGGTCGATGTTTGTTGTTAGCCCGTGTGGCGCCCGTGTTCCTGTCTTCATGCCTGTTTTATATATATTAAAACTGATCTTTACCGATATTCTGGACTCCTCATTCCTCTGCCTGAACCACACCGTGACAGATCGACCGACCACAACAACATGGACCCTGCCACTTTTCAGGGGATTCACCAGCTGATGAGGCGGTCTCGTTTGATCCTCATCCCCAGGAGGCCTGCACTTAACACCAGTCCAGCCAAGCCCGCACTTCACGCCGGATCTGTCGAGCCCAAGGCAGTATGCGTCATGCCCGCCACGCCTGAGACTGTAAGTGCAGAGCCCGTCAAGCCTGAACTCTCCTCTCCGCTGGTTCCGTCCAGCCTAATTAAACATGAACTCTCCTCATCGCTGGTTCCGTCCAGCCCTCCTGAGCCTGAACTCTCCTCTCCGCTGGTTCCGTCCAGCCTCGTTAAACCAGAACTCCCCTCATCGCTGGTTCCGTCCAGCCCTCCTGAGCCTGAACTCTCCTCATCGCTGGTTCCGTCCAGCCCTCCCGAGCCTGAACTCTCCTCTCCGCTGGTTCCGTCCAGCCTCGTTAAACCTGAACTCTCCTAATCGCTGGTTCCGTCCAGCCCTCCTGAGCCTGAACTCTCCTCATCGCTGGTTCCGTCCAGCCCTCCTGAGCTTGAACTCTCCTCATCGCTGGTTCCGTCCAGCCCTCCCGAGCCTGAACTCTCCTCTCCGCTGGTTCCGTCCAGCCTCGTTAAACCAGAACTCCCCTCATCGCTGGTTCCGTCCAGCCCTCCTGAGCCTGAACTCTCCTCATCGCTGGTTCCGTCCAGTCCTCCCGAGCCTGAACTCTCCTCTCCGCTGGTTCCATCCAGCCTCGTTAAACCTGAACTCTCCTCATCGCTGGTTCCGTCCAGCCCTCCTGAGCCTGAACTCTCCTCATCGCTGGTTCCGTCCAGCCCTCCTGAGCTTGAACTCTCCTCATCGCTGGTTCCTTCCAGCCCTCTCAAGCCTGAACTCTCCTCTCCGCTGATTCCATCCAGCCAGCGCCAGAGACCGTCCAGCCAGCATCAGAGACCAGGATCCCACCCAGCCTCCCTCTGTCACGATACACTTAACAAAAGTGAAGGGAAGGACTCAAGTGCAGTGGGCAGACGGGCGGTCCGAAGACCCCTCGGGCGGCCAGGGCGGTGAAGACCCCTCGGGCGGCCAGGGCGGTGAAGACCCCTCGGGCGGCCAGGGCGGCGAAGACCCCTCGGGCGGCCAGGGCGGCGAAGACCCCTCGGGCGGCCAGGGCGGCGAAGACCCCTCGGGCGGCCAGGGCGGCGAAGACCCCTCGGGCGGCCAGGGCGGCGAAGACCCCTCGGGCGGCCAGGGCGGTGAAGACCCCTCGGGCGGCCAGGATGGAGCAGATCTTTCAGGTGGCCAGGGCGGTGAAGAGCCCTCAGGCGGCCAGGGCGGAGCAGACATTTCGGGCGGCCAGGGCGGTGAAGACCCCTCGGGCGGCCAGGGCGGTGAAGACCCCTCAGGCGGCCAGGGCGGCGAAGACCCCTCGGGCGGCCAGGGCGGCCTAGACCCCTCGGGCGGCCAGGGCGGCGAAGACCCCTCGGGCGGCCAGGGCGGTGAAGACCCCTCGGGCGGCCAGGGTGGAGCAGATCTTTCAGGTGGCCAGGGCGGTGAAGAGCCCTCAGGCGGCCAGGGCGGAGCAGACATTTCGGGCGGCCAGGGCGGTGAAGACCCCTCGGGCGGCCAGGGCGGTGAAGACCCCTCGGGCGGCCAGGGCGGCGAAGACCCCTAGGGCGGCCAGGGCGGCGAAGACCCCTCGGGCGGCCAGGGCGGCGAAGACCCCTCGGGACCAGACACTGGCTCTGCCTCCGGCTCGGGAACAGGCGCCGGCTCAGGAACTGACACTAAAACAGACACAGTCACAAGAACGGACACAAACACAGACAAAAACACTCTGTCCTGAACCAACATGAGCTCCAGCTCAAGGACAGGCACCGGCTCAGGGACGGGGACCGGCTCAGGGACAGGGACGGGCTCAGGGACCGGCTCAGGGACAGGGACGGGCTCAGGGACCGGCTCAGGGACCGGCTCAGGGACGGGCTCAGGGACCGGCTCAGGGACCGGCTCAGGGACCGGCTCAGGGACCGGCTCAGGGACGGGCTCAGGGACCGGCTCAGGGACCGGCACCGGCTCAGGGACCGGCACCGGCTCAGGGACAGGCACCGGCTCAGGGACAGGCACTGGCTCAGGGACAGGCACCGG